GGTGGAGGTGGAGGTGGAGGTGGTGGAGGTGGTGGAGGTGGAGGTGGAGGTGGAGGTGGTGGAGGTGGTGGAGGTGGTGGAGGTGGAGGTGGAGGTGGAGGCGGAGGTGGAGGTGGAGGTGGAGGTGATGATGGTGACGGTGGAGGTGATGGCATTGCTTGCCTCTCCTGAGGCTAGATTCATCATGAACACATTATTATTAATACAAAGCAAAGGTGCCTCGTGTTCTCTCATGTGTATACATCCACTCCCCTTCACACTGTTTTTCATCCTGAGCAACACAAGGCCTTACAAGAAGCAGCTGCACATCCTCAGACCTTGGAACCTCCAGAATTACATGACAAAACAGCGCTCTTCCTTCCTCAAGTGCCGTCTCTTGGATTCTGGTTTAGCAGCAGAAAGATGGACTAAGACAAGCTCACATTTGAGCTAAGCTCTGAGGGGGAGACTTGTGAGCTGCTCACTCTCATAGCTGCAGAGTGTCTTGCAGTATTTTACCCACAGCAACTGCTTGGCAAATATCTGTGGCATAGACAGATGGATTCAAGCACCTTGATCAGTAGACACTGTCATCCTTGGGGCCATACACCTTACGTACCATTAAAGAACACTGTGCTTTGGCAAAATTAAGAAAGCGAACAAGTTCCTCATATAAGCCAAGAGAGAAAAGCATTGCCGGTGGAAGTCAAGTCAGCAGAAAATCAACCTTGCCGGGAGGAACTTTTAACCACAACTGTCAGTTAGGAGCTGGGGGCGGGAGGAAGTTTACCTCGCTGCTCATCTTGGCCACCTGCAGAGAATGCAGAAGCTTGGAGTCGTGGGTTCCCAAGGCTCTCCCCTTGGTTTTTTCATATTCTTCTTTGTATTTAATCTTGAGAGGAAGAAGAAAGTCTAGTGTGAGCAAGAGAGACACTGCCATAGAAGGGACTCTGTAACAAACACAAAGAGAAGAACTCTTGCTGTGTCTAACCCCTCGGTCTTTCTCAAACCCAGAAGAAGATTAAAGTGTTGCCATGTTTACAATGTTAACAGTTGTTATGTCTCCAGCCGCAGCTGGAGTCACATTGGAGCCTTTCCTTAAACCTTACACAATTCTGAGTTAACGAGGAGGAGAAGAACCTACGCTGCTAGCAAGTTCCCCCGAGGCTTTGGCGGCCAACAGAGACATGGCGTCTAGCTTCATCTCGAATCCTTTCCCCTTTGTCTTTTGCCAGCCTTCTTTGTACTTCACCTGACAAAGAAGCACAAACGCAGGTGAGTGGGCGCCTGCTACCCACCATTCTGCCTGAAGTTGAGAGGATTTCTCTTTAAAGCAAACTTGGTTTATTCCATTGTTGGCAGGCAGGAGACTCTTGGCTACTACTGTCAAGACTGAAACAGTAACTGTTAATACTGATCCTTAGGGCCACTCCTGGGGACAAGGGGACAGGACAAAGAACCCTCATTGCCTGGTCATGTGACTTTGGGCAGTTATCTCTCTGAGCTGTGGCTGACCATTTGCAAAATACATATTATCATTCTCCAGGCTGCTGGAAGTGTAAGTTGGGTGTGGAGCAGGAAGCCAAATCCCAAAGTGGTGTGGTACTGCCAAGAGGCAAGGGACTGATGCTGCCTTTAACAGCCACTGTGTGTGGTCCCATCCTAAATGCGGTGTAGACACTAACTACAAACCTTCGCACAAGCCCAGGCTCAGCAAATTGAAGGTATTTGCTAGGGCCATACAGAGTCCAGCATGACTTCTGAATCCGGGTCTGTCTCATATCAAAACCCATGACAACAAACACTGGAAGGTACATTAATGCCATGCTGTGCCCCATAACACGTCATATTTATGTCACCATATCCTACGCCTCAACACAGAGCAAGCAGTCTTGTACAAAACAATTTGTACAATTGTACAGATTTGTACAATTTGTACTGATTTTCCTGCCCTGTAACTCCCACCTAGGCTAGCGGCCTAGTCACAGTCTACCCTGTGACTCCTTGTGTCTTTGTTGATCGGATCACGATTAATCTTGAAACTTAAAAAAAATCTCTCCACACACAAGTCACCAGTCAGTCACCAGGATGATGGTGATGGTGATGACAAAGCTGTGCGTTCACATACCATGCCTATGTCTGTGTGTTCATATACCACGTGTGTATGTCCATACAGGAGTTGCCCTGCTATGAACAATTCATGCCCAGGGACTGTGTCAAAACTCTAAATCCCACTGTGATGAACACCCTAGAAGACTCTTCCTTGGCAGGCAAGTAGGGCCTGCTCTTTTGACCACTTCTTTCCACATTCACGCCAAGCTCTCCTCAGCTGGCTCTTACCTCACTGAACAGTTCTGCGTTGGTCTTGGCCTTCAGCAGCTGAGGAGCATCCTGGGGCAGTGTGTAGTTCAGCTTATTTCTCTCATAGTCAGCTCTGTAATTCACCTGTTCGATTTAAAATAGGTCTGCAAGGTTTCTGTGCGACAGGAGGAGAGCCCTGAGGAGACTATTCTGTTTCCCACACCCCTCTGATTCCTGTTGCAGAGAGGGAGTCCCTGGGAAAGGCCTTTTACAAGAAAACCTGTAACTTGGGGAAAAGTTTTAAGTTAACAGATTGAAAATGTCAAATGAAAAATGAAACAGCTCACGGGTACATCATCCAAGTCTCTGAGTTTGCAAGATACCTTTAAGCTGCTACGGCGCTGAATGCTTTGCTATATACTAGATACTATATGCTAGATACTCGCCAGGAATCATAAAGTTCAGTATTACTAGAAGTCATTTTGACTATGTGCAGTTATAAAATGCACATCTTGAATCACATAAGCACAAAAGAGCTAAACACATGCGTAAGACGACAATGTCACCTGTGAGGACTGTCACTCAAAACTTAACCGTGGGCCATGGGCATTGCAGAAAGTTGGGATTATTTTTAGGTTTTTTTTGGTGTGTGGTATCAAAATTGTAAAAACACATTTCATTCTTTTTACTTTTTAGAGATTCATACTAAAATATTTACAGATGAAGCTAGATAGTATCTTGGATTTTCTTCAAAATAATAGAGAAGGGGGAGGGTCGGAAGGTGTACACGTGTGGCAGGGCGGGCTGTGAGGTGATAGTTACTATTACTCAGGGCTTCACTATGCTCTGCTTTTGCATATGCTGACATCTTCCACAATAGACTGAAAGGAAGGGCACCATTTCTTGGGTATAATCACACATTCCAGCATTAGTAAAAGTAAAACTTTTGGGGGTCGGCTGTCCAGAGGCCTCATAGCAATTGCAGAATTCCCAGCTGGGCAGGGGTGTGCTACGTACGTGGCTCAGCTGCTGGGCGTTGATTTTAGCTTGAACAATCTGTGGTGTGTTTGTCACCGAGCTGAACTTCAATCTGTCGATGTTCTGCCTGTAGTTGACCTGGGCAAAAAAACGGACACAGGAAACGTCATTCGCCGTCATCTCTGGGATATGTGTGGCTCCCTTACACAGCTGAAGTGACTCTCGGAGAATTAGATAAAGTAGAGAAACTCCTGAATACCAAGGGACATGCCAAGCCCACAGACCAAAAAGCGGTCTGTTTGTGGAGGGCTGGATAACACGGAGAAGCAATACATAGCAGAGACCAGCTCGCTCCGCAGTGGACACAAGAAACACCCTGCCTTCACATTGCCAATCACAGCAATGCCCTCCCCTCCCACAGAGAGAGAAGGAAAGTCACTGGTAACGGTACATGCCGGCAAGCACAAGGTAGCCATGGGAACTGTAGAGACTTTGCTAGCAGTGCTTGGAATCTGGAACACATTTGAGAACATACACCAAACCTCTGTCCCAGTAATCCCATCGCGAGGCTCACTGCCAGTGAAAACGGGCACAGGGTCATTTTATAAAACCATCGAGAGGCTGGAGAGATGGTTCAGTGGTAAAGGCATCCACAGGCCTTGCAGGGGACCAGAGTTTAGTCTCCAACACCCGCGTCAAGTGTTTCACAAAGGGCAATAACTCTGGCTCTGGAGCATCCAATACCCGTGGCCCCTGGGGGCATCCGATGCCCATGGCCTCCCTAGATACTGGCACTCAGGACACATGCCCTCATTCAGGCATGTACAAATAATCAAGAATGAGATGCATCTTGACAAAAATTCAAGATATATGTATATATGCATATATAACGTATTTTTTTAGTATGTCTAAATCTTCGTAAAAGTGATGAAAAGAGAGTGTGGTGGAGAATAAAGAAGAGACAAAAGTCCAACCAGTATAATACTTATACTATCTGTTATTCCCTTGCCATGCCGGGGATAAACCCAGGGCCTTGTGCCCTCTGGGTAAGCTTTCTCCCAGAGCGATGCCCTGGCCCTTATATGTGTATCTGAGCGAGATATCAAGAAGCACCAGTGGCTCTTGAAGCACTGCCCTAATGTGCCCATGCTCACACGCTTGTGCACCAGTCGCTGCTGGGCCCTCTCTCGCACCTTCCCAAGACCCCAAAGAGACTGCCATATTTCAGCGTCTTCCTGGAAGAGGAAGAGCCAGGGTCGTCAACCTACTAGCTTTCCTACCTCCACATATCTGGGGCTGCTAGATTTCATGTTTGAAACTGCAGATTATTTTTGAAGGAGTAAAGTGTCGCCAGCCATTTGCACACAGAAATGCTTTCATCCAGCCTGCGCATTTTCCCTACATGCACCTGACCGTGAATCAGAGTGGGAGGAAGGGAACCTGAAAACAGACGTCAAGGCCTGAGGGCCCGCAACAGGGGAGGAACCTGAGATGAGCTGCGTGAGAAGAAGCCCTGAATCCTACTCAGGGGCTGAAAGCAAAGCGGTGATGTCATGACTGGCCAACATGCTATGACTGACCAACGGCCCCCTTCACAAGTTCACTTTCCTACAACCCAAGGAAAAGATTAAGAAGTAAACTCCTTCCTGCTCTTCCTTTCAACCTGTCTGGTCACGCCCTCTTATGTCATTCATTTGGTCTTTCAACAGACATGGAGTCTGCACAGAACAAGCAAAATTAGACATAGCCCTGCCCACCCACGTTCCAGATGCCTACCTCATGCCTGCTGCCTATGTGCTCCATGCTGATAGTGGAAGCTCCCTAGAAAGTGCCTCCCCCATCTCCTGCTCCCTAAGTCCAGCAAACCCATCCAGGATGCCAGAGTATATCGCTTCCGTCTTACTACCCACTGCTGTCTCTGCTGGGGCCGCTCACATGGCCTCGTGAGTCAGAACACAGTGGCCCTGCCTTCCAGTAGTTATCGAGAAGCTATAAATCCACGTTCTTGTATAAACCACTGCCATTCTCTGAGCCGATGCATGTGTTCATTCGCTCAGTTTATTCGCCCATGACGCATACATGTTTTAAAGCATCTTTAAAGAAAATGTATACACACTGTCGCTGACAAGTTTAAAAACAGATCTATAAAATCCTGGTTTGAGCAAGCTTTAACATGACCGTTTCTTGCAGAATTTCTCAGTCTTTAAATTTTTCCATAGCGGTTTTTGTCACTTCTAAAGACGCAACTCCAAGACAGAGAACTTTATAAATTTGGTCTTAAACGTTTCCTTTTACAGACCATTTTTGCTACCTGACTATTCTGTGCTTGTGTATAATACCGTGTTCCAGTCCCTCTCTTACCCTCACCCCCCCCACCTCTCCCTCCCACACCCACCAATCCTTCCAACTCTATCCTCAGCAGACCCTTTCCCAAATTCACGATTTTTCTTTTATTTTATGACCCACTTAGTTTAACCAGCGTCACCTGGAAGCATCAGTCGGCACTATCAGTTGGCTCCTATGTGGTCTCCAGTGGATACACAACTGAGGGCAACGATCCTCACTGTTTCCCTGAATCTATCAGTAGCAAGTAGTTCGACGGAGAGAGATAGACCACCACCTACCACCCTGAAACCATCTTCCTTCATGCCTGACTTTTGCTAGGCCTATTATTGTGCAACTCTATGCTCGGATTTGAGGGAATCCATTCCTGTAAACAGGGTTAAAAAGATCCACGGTGAAGTCTCGAGATCATAGGCCCCAGGGTGAGGACTGAATGCAGTTTATCCAAATTGACATCATATCAAGTTGACTTCTAAGTATGTAGGGTTACACCCACAGATAATGCTATCCTCTGCCTAAATCAGGGGAGCTTCTCTCCCCCAGCAAAGGGTAATAAGTGCAGAGAGTTTCGAATGCACAAGCTGCTAAGCAATGAATGTGTGCTCACTGTAAATGAGACATACATACCATCTCCTTCAAGGCTCCGGGAGCTCTGCAGAAAAGGTAACCGAAAGAACACAAATGCCAGAAGACAGGAAGATAGGCTGCAATTGACATCTTCTGGGCAAGATGCAGCCATGCCAACCACAAACACCCAGCATGTGCCTGCTCCACGTCCTCTGACATTTTAAGAGCTGGCAAGTAAGTCTGTATTTTTAAAAGCCACTGGTATGCACGGGATGCCAAATCATTCATAAACTCACTCCAGAAATAAACCTGAGGGCCACCTTGGATGTGCTGGCTTCCAGCTTATTCATTCCAGCTCTTCCCTCCACTCAGTATCCTACGGTAGCAATTCTAACCAACACAGGGCACTTGCTGGCACGTCTCGTGCCTCCAAGTGCTCCATACATCCTAACTCATTCACTCCCCTAGCCGTCCTGCGATAACCCCAACCTTGAGACGTGGAAAGGGAAGCACGGAGAACTAATGGAAGCTGCTCAGCTAGTGAGGGGTGAGAGCTGTGAACGGCATCCCAGACAAACCGGAGAGTGGTCCTCAGGCTGCGCCCTTGAGTCTGTGCTCTGTAAGCCCAGTTTGCCTGGAGTGCTCACGACAATTACCTATAGATGGATGAATGGGATTCACCATGGAGAACCCCTCTGATTTGTAGATTGAGATCAGGAAATCTTTCCCACCAGCAAACAAATGACAGATACATTTGTCTCTAAAGCAGCACATATGGACACCCCAACACTTCGGGCACAGAGCTGGCTGCTCTGTTAGATTTGGAAGACATCACTTTGCTGCTTTTTCATTAATAATTCAAGGAGAAAAAAAACTTTTTGTACATCCGGAGTATATAGGGAAAACTGGAGATATAAAGTCATTTCAATGTCAACCGCTAATGAGATTAGAGTGCTGTGACTGTCTAATGCATTAATTCAGAGGGAAAATTATCAACTCATAATAGAGTCTTATTAGGATTCAGAACTAGGCATGATAAAATGTCACACACAAAAACTGTATTTTTAAAATAGCACATTCCTTCCTGATAGTTCTGCACTAAATATGTCACACTGGGCACAATTACTTTTCTCTGCAGGACATAATTAACAGCCTCCATGATTAATTTCACAAACGTTTGGCCACGGCTTCGCTCTACATTCTGAAAGCTTCTATGCTAAAGATAGAGCCCCATTTTAATTCCATTAGTGTTTATAAAAAGCCATCTATCTACAGGAATGCCCTCTAATTAAGGACCCATGCTATATTTAATTTCATGGCTATTTTACCACCTTTAAGGCTACCAGATGGCAAGACTACTAACTCTCCTGAAAAAGGAATGGCTTTCCCACTTCCTGAGTGCTAATAATCTACATTAGGAGTAATTTGCTCAGACACATACCAGAGCCAAGACAGTAAGAGGAAGGAAGGAAAGAGGCACTTGTAGATCAGCCCTGACTCAGTCCCGGCCAATTTCTGCTACACAAGACATAGCAGCCCTTTTGATTTTGATTTTCCTTCCTCACAGGCACAAGCAAACAAGGAGCCTGGGCATGGCTCACGTGCTGCCAGCTTAAATGCTACCTCTAAACCCAATGTCTATTCCAGTCCAGTTTAATCCTGAGCTAGCAACATTGTTTCAGGCATAGACGTTGATGGAGAGTCCTACACACACACACCTGTAGCAGAGGAGGATGTTACAATGGAAATACAAAGCTATAGCTATCTCGTTTTATTTATGCTAATTACTAGGCTTGGTCTCTAGATGCCAATTGTAAATACGCAACTCACGATTTTACTTTTAATTGCTAAGTAGCCTATGAAGTATTTGGGGCAAAAAATAAAGATGTTTTGGTTTCGTTTAAATACAAGAGAGTCAACCTAACAAAACTCCTTGGGAAAGAGAAGAACAAAGCTTGGTTCCTTCTGTCCTTCTAGGTCTCGTTGCCTGCTTCACTCACCTTTGCAAAGCCCCGTTCACGCAATAAGCTATCATTTACCAGCTCTCACTCCTTAGTAGTCTAGGCTCTGTTTCAGACCCAGCACAACCAATCCCACCACATCTACTCTCGGCAAAAAAGAGGGAGCGCAGTGAAGTCCTATCTAGCAGCAGGAAAACCCAGCTGGTCACTGGTGTTGTGCTGAGTCCATGGGAGCTGGTGAAAAGCACCTTGGGGAGTCAGTGAGCACATGCGGAATTACTTAATCTGTTAAGTAATTAGTAGACTAAAGACTGCCTTCACTGGCTAACTGTAAGGTCAGCTCATTTTTAAACAAGTGAATTACTTTATCTTTTTCTTTATGCTTTTTTCTGTATTTTTTTAAGTTTTAATTACTGAACACATAATAAAATTATTATTGCCATACAAAAAATAGATTTAATTAATTGTATTATTCTGTTTGGGATGTCAAGCCATACATAGGCTTACTCCTGTAATACGTAAAAGATCTAGCTATTCTTCTATCTGTCTGTCTGTCTGTCTGTCTGTCTGTCTAATCTACATTTGTCAACATGCCTCCTGAGTAAAAGGTTAATATTACCATTTGCTCTTAATACATGCCTACTTTATCTTTAACATACTAAGTTCTAATTTTTTTAAAGGTCATCATTGCTCTGGAATAATTATTGTAAATGTGTCCGGCAGAGTTGTAGCGATCCAAATTCTGAGAGAATTTGAACTTTTGGATTCTCATTTCAAGATAAGAGCAGAATCATCCAAATTTTACCTAGAGAGTGAGTTTTTAGTTGTGCATGCCTGGACTTCCCAGAGGAAGGACAGGCCCCATTCCTAGCCCCTTGATCTCCTGTATATTGATGAGATGTTCTTCTTCCCATCTTTCTGCCTAAAGCTTGCTCCACAGCAAGCCACAGAATGAAGGCTAGTGGGGACTCACATCCTTCAGGGGAACCAGTTTCATCGCTGTTTGGTAGAAGGGCGTGGCAGTGGCCGGGTAGTTGTAATCCACAATGTCATGTTTATAATCAGCCTTGTAGGCAACCTGAAACCCAAAGAAGAGAGGAATCAGTGCCTGCTTCCCCCAACCCCTATTTGAATGTCATAAATAGTTCTAAATAATTAGAAACAAATTAATTCGCTTTTATCACCTCAAAAGAGAATTACATCGTGTTCACATTTTGCCTTTAATGAGTTTGAATTACTCTTAATTAGTTCAAAATCAGTCAACTTCCATCTGTAGTACGTTTATTTAATCTTTCTTTTTAATCATAAGGCTCTTGTTTTTGTTTTAAACGAGCAGTTACACACAGGTATTCGATGAAGGTGCTTCTGAGCAAACTTAAAGACAATGAAAACTCAAGAACTTCAGAGTAGCTTAGTTACTTTTATAGCATTCAACATCGGTGTCCTCGGGGAGAGGACATTCAACATTTGTATGTTTTGAGTGTGAAATAGGTCTTCTGTAAGTACTCATTATCTCCAGGGTTTAAAATAGAGTCTTTTCATATCTATGAGTTAGTTTCCATGCTGTCCCCTGATGTCTGATTACGCCATTACTCTGACTATTGCATGACCACAGCGTATCTTCAATGAAAAGCAAAGTCACCCCTAAGTAATCATCTCCCATTCATAAAAGCTTTGAAATCCCACAGTATTTCTAGCAGGACTCGCACTGGTCTATTTTACCGTATCTTTCAGAAGTGGAGCATTATATTACACTGAATCAATGATAACAGACCCTTCGAGTCAACGTGCACTAACTGACACTGGCTAGGCCTCTGAAAGTTTCAAAGGCTTTTGTAATTCTTTATATTTGTCAACATTTAAAGATCTGTGGGCGGGGGGTTCTGTTTTTACAAATAGAAACATACACATTATAAAAGGAGGGTTTAAAAGTAATTGGTCACGATCTTCACACCCCAACCTGCTGATTCCCACTGTCCCTCAAACAGCACTCACATTGCTGGCCAGGCTGCCAACTTTGAGAGCGTGGAGCATGCGTCTGTCCATGCCGACTCCGTCATAGTGGCCTCTCAGCTGGGTCTGATAGTTTTCTTTGTATTTATTCTATGAGGAAACATTAAACTTTTGATGAAAAGTTCCCAACTAGATGAAGGTAAACCACTTATCTTAACAGTCTAAGTTTAAATATAAGCATGATTGCACTATTGGGAGAAAAAAACAACTTGTTTTTAAACAATTTAAATTTCCAAAGAGCACGAGAACTTGAGAAAAGACAGGCAGACAAGCACACAGAGGTACATGTCGTGGGGAGCAGCGAAGCAGACCATCGTGGGGAGCACCAAGGCAGACCGTCGTGGGGAGCACCATGGCAGACTGTCGTAGGGAGCACCATGGCAGACTGTCGTAGGGAGCACCATGGCAGACTGTGGTGGCGAGTGCCGAGGCAGACTGCATGTGGTTTTTTATTTTTACATGTTTGCTTTTAAATTTACCAGACTTTTTGGTATGGAAATTCACTGTGAAAGTGTGGAGCTGGCAGTGGACAACCAATAGACAAGCCCTGGTTGTGTGGTCTTGATCCACAAGCCAAGTCATTACAAGCTCTTGCTTCTCTGTCTAAATGCAGTCAGCCCTCTACATCCACTAGCATCTACATCTGTGGATGCACCAGACATAGACGGAAGATGTTTAAAAAAGCGATCGTATCTGTAGGAAACATGCGTGGGCTTTTCTCTTAGTGATTTTCCTTTAAAAATTCAGCATTGCTATTCACTTAGCACTTTTGATGTATCAGGTATTATAAACACTCTGGAGAGACCTGAAGTCCATGTGGACGCTAAGCTCCATCACTACACCATTCTTCTGTAAGGGACTTGGTATCTGAGGATTGTAGTGCCTACCGAGAGGTCTTGAACCAATCCCCAGTGGATATTATACAAGAAGAATGGGATCTGATCTCTGTCAAATTTTATGATGTAAAAATTGATCACTGTGGCAACCAATGGGAAAATGAGTCCTGTCCTAAATGCTGCTTAGCAAATAAGAGAAAAAACAAAATGGAATGAATATATCTTCAAACCTTCTCTGAGAATACACAAAATTTGTAAATGATACTCCAGCATATATCTATCTGGTCATATGTAAAAATGGGGGAACCTTATCTGGCTCTTCAGCTGACTACGTTAAGTGAGGTCATGTATTAACTCAGAAGCATGAAGTCACAGAAGAGACGCTGCATGCTCAGTCAGGTGACCATGCCAGCATTCAGCACCAGGAGCAGCTGCTGAGCCACACAGATAGAACATACAAACACAGTTCCACCTTGAGAACTCGGTCACATATGGACAAGCAGGGAACACTGGGGCTGTGACATCATTTGATAATAAACAGACTAATCCCAGAAGACAGTCCTAATGAAACTCAATGTACCGTGCACCTGAGAGGCCATGCTTCTCTGAGACACAAGGATATGGTCACAAAGGTCATCCCTCAGGAGACGCAGAAGTTCAACTCACAAAACATGCTTATGTATAACTCACATCGCTGGTGAATTTTGAGATCTTGCTCACATTCCTGAACTGGGGTGTCTCACAGTAGTTGATACTGTGACCTTTACTGTTCTCCAGACCTTTCTTGTACTCCACCTTGGAACGCCAAACACCAGGTGCTTAACAGAACCACCCCTGAAGCAATTCTTGAAAACATCCCCAAGGTCTGACTGGAATATTTTTTTACAAAACTTTTTTTTTATTGGATATTTTCTTTATTTACATTTCAATTGTTCTCCCCTTTCCAGGTCTTCCCTTCAGAAAGCCCCTATCTCATCCCCCCTCCCCCTGCCTCTATGAGGGTGCTCTCCCACTCACCCAACTACTCCTGTCTTCCCGCCCTGGCATTTCTCTACCCTGGGACATGGAACACCCTCAGGCCCAAGGGCCTCTCCTCCCACTGATGTCCAACAAGGCCATCCTCTGTCACATATGAGGCCGGAGCCATGAGTCCCTCCACCTGTATTCTTTGGTTGGTGGTCCAGTTCCTGGGAGCTCTGGGGGGGGTCTGGCTGGTTGATGCTATTGCTCCCCCCACGGGGCTGCAAAACCCCTCAGCTCCTTCAGTTCCTTCTCCAACTCCTCCATCAGGGACCCAATGGTCCTCCCTCAATCCAATGGTTGGCTGCAAGCATCCGCCTCTGTATTTGTCAGGCTCTGGCAGAGCCTCTCAGGAGACAGCAATATCAGGCTCCTGTCAGCAAGCACTTCCTGGCATCCAGGGACAAAACAAGACTGCCCACTCTCTCCCTATCTGCTCAATATAGTACTTGACGTTCTAGCTAGAGCAATTAGACAACAAAAGGAGGTCAAAGGGATACAAATTGGAAAGGAAGAAGTCAAAATATAGCTATTTGCAGATGATATGATAGTATACCTAAGTGACCCGAAAAATTCCACTGGAGAACTCCTAAATCTGATAAACAACTTCAGCAAAGTGGCTGAATATAAAATTAGCTCAAACAAGTCAGTAGCCTTCCTCTACTCAAAGGATAAACAGGCTGAGAAAAAAATTAGGGAAACAACACCCTAAACAATATTCACAAACAATATAAAATATCTTGGTGTGACTCTAACCAAACAAGTAAAAGATCTGTACAACAAGAACTTCAAGTCTCTGAAGAAAGAAATCGAAGAAGACCTCAGAAGATGGAAAGATCTCCCATGCTCATGGATTGGTAGGATTAATACAGTAAAAATGTCCATCTTGCTGAAAGCAATCTACAGATTCAATGCAATCCACATCAAAATTCCAACTCAATTCTTAAGAACTTTCTCAGGGAATCACCATCCCTGACCTCAAACTATACTACAGAGTATAAAAACTGCATAATATTGATACAGTAACAGGCAGGTAGATCAATAGAATAGAATTGAAGACCCAGAGATGAACCCACACACCTATGGTCACTTGATCTTTGAAAAAGGAGCTAGAACCATCCAGTGGAGGGGGTGGGGGAAGACAGCATTTTCAACAAATGGTGCTGATTCAACTGGAGGACAACATGTAGAAAAATACAAATTGATCCATTCTTATCTCCTTGTACAAAGCTCAAGTCCAAGTGGATCAAGGACCTCCACATAAAACCAGATACACTGTATCTAATAGAAGAGAAAGTGGGGAAGAGCCTTGAACACATGAGCACAGGGGAAAATTTCCTGAACAGAACACCAACAGCTTGTACTCTAAAATCAAGAATCAACAAATGAGACCTCATAAAATTGCAAAGCTTCTGTAAGGCAAAGGACACTGTCAATAGGACAAAACAGCAACCAACAGATTGGGAAAAGATCTTTACCAATCCTACATCCGATAGAGGGCTCATATCCAATATATACAAAGAACTCAAGAAGTTAGACTCCAGAGAACCAAATAACCCTATTAAAATAATGGGGAACAGAGCTAAACAGAGAATCCTCAACTGAGGAAACTCGAATGGCTGAGAAACACCTAGAGAAATTTTATGAAACTTTTAACCCAAGACTTAAAGTAGGCAGAGAATACTGGAAGTGTATGGTGCTTTCCTTTGTAATAATAAATAATAAATCAAGTTATTTCATCCTGAAAATTACAAATACACAGTCCTTCTCAATAACAGGTATTCCAATGCTTCACACAGATCAAGAACTGTAAGACAGGGGTTAGGGTGTAACTCATGACAGAATCTCCCCAGCATGAGTCTCTGGGTTTGCCCCACAGCTTCAAATAATAACAATAATTCAAGTAATAATAATGGTGGCAAAAAAAGAACCACTATTTTAGAAATAGCATGGGTTCACTTGGGGTAAAATGTCTTGGGTGTTGATGTGACATCCAGACTTCTAGCCATGTCCTGTTTCTTCTGAGAGCCCTCTACATAGGCAAGTCCACCTAAGAAACTCCTCCCACTGTAGATCCACATGCGTGTCTCTCTGTGAACACATCAGGAGACAACGTGCTGGGTCCCAAACACAACTTTTTATTTTTAAAAGGCCCTGAGCTGGATTTGGGCTGTGAACTAGATTTGACACTAAGGCCGCAGTGTGCTGACATCTGCTCTAGAGTACTGGAATCATCTAGAACTTGTATCAAAATGCAAGTCTAAGCCCCCAGTATTGAACTTACTAACCTCAAAGTGTCCAGGGCTCTTGATGAGACTCAGGAAAGTATGATTCCGAGCATTTCAAAATCAGAGGGTCACTGATCAGCTCAGTTTGGGATTAAGGCCTGACCATTAGAAGTAACAGAACATTCTAGGGTATTTACATCTCAGCAGAGAGCATTTTTTTCATAGCCACAAATTCTTCCTGTTGTCAGAGCAACCACTCCAAGGTCTTTGAGTACTGAACAGCAGAGCAAATGACAGGAGCCACTATGAAGGGACACTAGAGCTCAAGGGAGCTATGGGACATATGTCCTTGCCAACATGTCCTGGTTCAGAAAGGCTTAAGCTTGGGGTGGTTTAAACAATGTGCACCCTCCAGCAGCTAGGCCAGCCTGGAAGAGAAAGAGGAACTTGTGTGGTAGACACAGCTTCTCTGAACCCTGATTCCAGTGATAAGGGAAATATGGCATTTAAGATAGTCTAGACCTTGATTCCACACTAATGTAACAATTTATGGCCTCAAGGTTTGGAGTGCAGGGGCCAGAGGGATGTCTCAGAGGTGAAGAATGCTTGCAGCTCTTCCAGAGGACCTGAGTTTGGTTCCTGAGTTGATCAGCTCATAACTGCCTATAACTCTAGCTCTAGTGGGATATGGTGCCCTCTTCTGGCCTCAGAGAGCACCTGCACTCACATGTGCACACACACAGACACAGACACACACACACACACACATGCACACACACATACATGCATGCACATTCGAACCCACATACAGGATTAAAGATAAAAACAAATCTCTAAAAGTTGCATCCTCTAGTGCTCTTTCTAACAACTATAAATCTGTTGACTGGCACTTCTGAATATCTAGTAAGAAAGTTTTGAGCCAACAGGAAAAGATTTCTTTTTTCTTTTTTTTTTCTTTTTCTTTTTTTTTTTTTTGGTATTTGGTGCATTGTTTGGAAACTGGCCAGATGAGGATAGTCTGCGTGGTTCCATTTTGTTTATGCGTTTTGAGCCAGGATTCCATGTAGCACAAGCAGGCCTCCAACTCACTATGTAGCCTAGAGTGGCCTCCAATTCCTGATCCTCCTGCCCTACCTGTCAAGTTATTTTTGTGTGTGTGTGTCTGTGTGTGTATGGTTATAGATGTGTGTCACAACAAGCTGCATTAATTTTAAACAAGGCCACTGCAGTCACTGTCTGAGAGAAGAGGGGGGCAGTACAGAAGTACGGCTCTCCCAATACTCACCTCACTCACAAGCTTGCTCACACTCTGAGCTCGCTTGAGAACCAAGTTGTCCTGGGCCGAAAGGGAGTGAAAGTGTGCCGCACCTTTCATCTTGTGGAAGTCCTGCCTGTATTTTATCTGAAAGAAGGACACAAGGGAGTCTGGAGTTGTGGTTGCCACGTTAACATTAACTCAGTAGGATTCGCTAAAGGAAGGAAAGTTCCTATGGGCTTTCTGAAACCTCTTAGTAAAGCTAGAAACCACTTGATTCTCTTTGTGCTAAAACCTTTCCTGGCTCTGTCCACACACTTCTCAATCTTTGCACTTCAACACTGACTGGAGGAAGGAGACAGGTACTTCAGGCTACCATGGCAAAGAGAATAAAATCTAACCACCTTCTGCCCTAAATTTCAACACCATTTCTGCAGTGTCTCAGAGGAAGGAGTAATGTCTTGCATTTCCCATCTCAGGGCACAGGGGGCGCTGTTCCAGGTTCCTAGATTCTCAACAGTGGCAGAAAGAAGGGCTTAGTGTGGAATGAATGCTAGGGACCGAGTCCAAGCCGGCATGTTAAGAATTGCAGTGAGCACTACACTCTCCCAAGTTTAATTATAACCCGTCTCTCAAGGACCTACTGGCAGCTGTCTAACATTCTTTAAATAAAAACCACGTATCACTCGCTGGGTCACACCCAATTTGATAATACATGGCTTCCTTCAGTGAGCTTTCCCCTTCAATTTCACACTGGTGTTTTGGCAAAGGCTCACCTCATCCCAGCTGATCTACCGGCACCAGCGCTTGTACGTTTTGCAAATGGTCTACATGAGCAGTAGAGTTTGTCCAACTGCATTTCCATAATACAAACAGATAACACAATCAAAGTCTATGAACAGTTCAATAAGACACTCTGAGTTTGGACCAGAGGCTGGGCTAGCAGTCTGCTTTTGCTTGGCTCTAGGAGATGTGTCTGCGCGTGGCTTTCAGCAAGTGTGGCTGTCAGCATCCCATCATCCACACCTTGGTGGCTCTGCCAGTACTTACATCACTAACAAGTTCATTGGCCTTCTTGGCGTTCTGATAAGCTGGGGTGATCATGGCCGGGAAGCTGCCCTTTCCCTTAGGTTCATCACACTCTTCTGAGTAAACCTGATGAGCCAATCGAAAATTTTGATCAGTAATGTGTCCTTCCTGGCATGGGTGGGGTCAGCAGTGATAGTCCCAGAGACTGATCACAGAAGAGCTAGACATTCCACTGACTGCCAGAGATGTACATGTGGTGAATAAGATACTAGAACTTGCAGCCTGGACCACTATATCATACATACATACATACATGTACACATGTATACATACATACATACATACATACATCATACATATATACATACATACATCATACATACATGCATACATATATACATACATGCATATACTGCATCATACATACACTATAGCATACATGCATGCATGCATAGATACATACACTATATTATACATACATGCACACAGACATACATGCATGCATGCATATGTGCATGCATATATACATAAACTATATCATACATGCATGCATACACTATATCATACATGCATGCACACAGATACACATGTGTACATGCATAAACTATATCATACATGCTTGCATGCATACATGCACACAAACATGCATACATACATATACTATATTATGCATACACACATGCATACATGCATATACATACTATATCATATATACAATAGTATTATGCATGCATACATACATACATGCATACAAACATACACCTGTCATGATCAACTTTCTCCTCCTCATCAATCACCACAATGTCAGATAAACCAAGAAACTCTCCCACTCTCATGCTGTTTTTGAATACACATGTGAACTCATGCCAGGGAAGGGTCCACTAGTCTCAAATGTTACTTTGCTTAGACACAATGGCAGATGTATGCAGAAGGGCATTAGACATCTCTGATACTGCTCTCCGTTAGCAAAGTGTGTTGTGTAACCAGGTATCAGATAGAATAAAACTTTTTGCGACTTTGTGAAGAGAAACTTCGTGTTGCTATCAGTCTCTTTAAGGGGTAGATATGTCTTGAAAGATGAGAATTATCATTCTCATTTTAATTTTTCCCTTCCTTCTCCAACATCACTCTTCAACTCCCATAAAGAAAATCTTTTTTTTTTTTTTTCACAAAACGAGCATCTCATGAATGAGAAGGACCACGGTAAATAGAGACAGTTGCACCTTCTCTTGGAAGTCCAGAGTCCTTCATCCCAGAACTGCCCTGGGCCGAGTCAGCTGCTTCTTCATCTGCACTCTGCCCTGGGCAGGAGACAGTCTTCGGAACCCCAGGATCACAGCACTCTCCTGGGGCCTCCTCTGAGATGAGAGCCTACCTTCAAGAGACCCATGATAGACTCTAGCAAATACATCTCCTTAAGTAAAATACGTAGATCAAATCTAAGTAGCCAGGCCTCTTTTTTAACCACCAAAATGAAAATCAGTTAGCTTGAGCCCTCCCTCTGTCTTTGCTTGGCTGCCAGAATGTTTGAGTCAAATATAAGTGGAAAAAAGAAAGGTAAGTTCGGAGGAGGGAAACAATCTATGTTTGTTGTTTGGTTTTGGTAGCTTCATTTTAAAATGTGTGTGTGTGTGTGTGTGTGTGTGTGTGTGTGTGTGTGTGTTTTGTAAGGTACTGACCTCTATTGGGGAATTGCTCGGTTATGAATAACAAATTTGCATAGTCTAGATTTTTCATGGGTGTAGTCATTAGCAAGAATGAGCTGTGTGCTATTTAAGGCACTACAGATATTTAATGTTTACCTACCTGCCTGCCTCTAACTCCATCCTACCCATGCCCTGACAAATCACGCTAAGTCAAACAGCAAGATGCCACAGTAGACTGAGCTTCCTCCACAGCTGCTGATGGTGCCATCCAACACCCACCTTGATTCTTGAGTGTGTTAGCATCAAGACTGGACATTGCAGTCGACATGCTGTAATGACCAGGACCTACTAGAACACTACCATATGACATTTCAGCTACAGGACAAACTCTGTCCAGGTTTCCTTTTGACCCTCGCCCCAAAATGAAAATTGATTTATTTGAGCCCTCTTTTCTGCTTGGCTGCCTGAATATTCTGAGTCAAACATAATCAGTGAAAAGGATATGTTTTTTTTGGGGGGGTGGTGAGGAAACGTTCTAAGATTCTTTGATAATGGGCTTTGTGGTTTTCCAAGTTGGATGAACAACACAAATGAAATTGTGTGTGTGTTAGAACTAGGAGTGGGAAGATGGTGAAAATACAGACTGGATTTTTATTTATTTATTTTTGCCAAAAATAAAAGCAAGAGTTTTCTGCCCTGTTTTGTTTGTTTGATGAGACAAGATCTCACTATGTAGCTCAGACTAGATTGGAACTCACTGTGTTTTCCAGGCTCGGCCTCCAAAGTCGGAGGATTACAGATATAAGACATCACACTTAGCTCCTGCTAAGTGGTGTTTGCATGTGTGTGTGTGTGTGTGTGTGTGTGTGTGTGTGTGCTTTAAAAAAAAACTTCATAGACATTTTTCTGCGTCTTCTAAACAATGGGATAAGTAAGAGTATATCTCACTGAGTTTAATACAACAATGCCTGTAGTTTGCTTGTATGATTTGATTAAACTGACTTTTAAATTCGAAATTGAGCATTTCTTGCTCAGGCAGACACTTTGCAAAAGGTTCAAAACCTATCTTCACATACATTCCAAGAGTCACGTGGACATATGCCCACCTGTGATGACTTGGTTTTCTTAAAGAGGAGAAATCAGTTCTTTGTGGTTTGCTATATAGTTCATGCATGCTGCCAAATAACTAAGAAAAATACCACTTAACCTCATTGAATGTATCATTAATACACTCACACTCACACACTCACACACACATACACATACACTCTTATACTCACACACACACTCACACATACACTCTTACACTCACACACAGATACACATTAATGCACACTCACTCCCACTCAGATACATCCAATAATTTTTACCTGTGACTGCAAATGAATAGTGGTTCCTTTATGTCATGATGACTTTCTAATACCACAGAATACACAGGAGGGTGAGGATAAGTCACACTGAGTGTGTTATCTTGACCTTTCTACTCCATGACCTGATATAGTCTCATTGAAAGATGGGATGGGTAACAAGGCTTCTGCTTTCTAGAATACACCACTTTATCTAGCAACCTAGGTGAAATATTTACTTCCAAAGAAAATCATTCCTGTGACTTTGATAAATACTCAATATTTTTCAGGATATACAGCATTGGGTGTGTGTGTGTGTGTGTGAGTGTGTGTGTGTTCTGAATGTGCACATGTCTATGCAGGTGTGCATGGGTGCAGAGGCCAGAGGAGGACTTCTAGTATCCTGCTCTATCCGGCTCTACCTAATTCCTTTGAAACATGGTCTTTCATTGAAACTGGAGCTAGGCTGGCAGCCAGTAAACCCCAGCCATCCCCACCTCTCTACCCTGCACTGAAGTTATAGTTAGACATGCCAAGGCCCAGCTTTTTTCCCCTTCCTTTCTCCCTTCCTTCCTTCCTTCCTTCCTTTCTCCCTTCCTTCCTTCCTTCCTTCCTTCCTTCCTTCCTTCCTTCCTTCCTTCCTTCCACCCTTTCCTTTCCTTTCCTTTCTTTTTTTTTAACATGGGTGGTGGAGATTTGAACTGAAATCCTCCTCCTTCTGACACCACCACCACTCTTACCCCCTGAACTATCTGCCCAGCCCCTGAAGACATACATTTGATTTCTGTCGGTACTCACGCAGTGATGACCTAACTCACCAAATCGGATTCCTAGTAACAGTTTTCCAACGAACAGATGGAAATGTCTTCCTATTGGCCAAACCACCATATTAGCATAGACTTTCTTTTCTTTAAGGACTTGGGTCTGTTACCTAAGCAGATGAACTGAGCTCTGTATATTGCCTGCACCAAGTCCAAACCCTGATCACATGTCCATGGCTGTCACAGCTCTAGGGAACAAACAGCTGGCCTTGAAGAAGACCAGCTCCCAGATGTGTCATGTACCTGGCCACATCGGTCTACAGAGTCCTTTGTCATCATGCCTTCAGCTCCGACAGGACTGGCCACTCCCTTCATTTCTCTATGATATTGTTGATGGTACCTCACCTGTTTTGAATAAGAAAAAACTCAATGAGTCCCAATATAATAGCCACAAAAGTAAAGACCAATGCTTTGTGGTGTCCTCAATCTCTGCTTAGGTCTACAGAAAGCACCACAGACAGAAGTAGCAAGCTATTGTCATGGGGGAAATGATTTACAACCATGAAGAAAAGGTACTTCTTGTCTCTTAGGAATATATAAAAACAGACAGGAAGTTGGACTTCCAGAACCAGGTTAACTTCCTGTTTCCTCCTTAACAAGACAACACAACCACAGGCACTTACATCACTGGCCAGCTCAGTGGCCCTTTTGGCTATCTGATAGGCTGGTGTGATCATAGCAGGAAAACTGCCTTTCCCTCTCTGCTGCCCACCGGCTTCCATGTACCTCACCTGGAAAATTAAAAAGAGAACAACTGAATGACCTACTGAGGTTGTCCTAGAAAATCTGAGAGGGGAGTCCTCTGAGAGCTCTGGAGGCCTGCCTATCACCTGGGACAGTTCTTAATGTACGGAACCGCTTACAGCTTGGTGGGCCACACTCATCTTATCTGCCTGTTCATTCCCAATACCCAGCATGGTGCCTGGCTCCTGAAGACATACAGTGTGGAGTTTGGCACATCCTTGGGTTGCACCTGGTGTGGGTCAGGGATGGGGCTGGGCAAAGCAGTAAGTCTCTCTCTGAAGAGCTGATGTCATGTTTGGGAGAGGAAAGGGGCATCTCAATCTCAGATCTCAGCCAGGGCGGGTGGAGACCACTTCTGAGCACAATGCTGGGTTTGTGAAGCTGGGTTTGTGCTCCAACCTACCATTCAGAACCACACTCGGTTCGTGGACTTAGCACAATGTGGAACTCGTGGGCTGAGAAAAGGGAAGTGGTGGCCCCTTCAGAAGTTATCTCCTCTGATCTGCAGTGGCTGGAGAGGTTTCTCTCAACTGCATCTGATACGCCTGGCTTGGTTCAAATATCATGGAATGGCTTCTGTTTAAACAGTTTTTGCAAGTCCCGTGAGGGCTGACTTATAGCCTCTGACCAACCTCAGGAACGTCTTCCTGGTACCTGGGCAGGACCGGGATTCTCCCCCCATTCTCCCTTCCCTCCCCTCCAGATAAACAAGAGAGGACTTAAGGATAATTATGCATTAGACTGAATCATTGGTGTGTGTATGTGTGTGCTGTACACATGTACATGTGTATGTATGTTCACATGAAGGGGAGTACACACAGTGTAGGCTCGTTTCCATATGTGTGTGCTTACATAGAGAGGCCTACAGTTGATATTTGACATATTCCTTGATTGCTCTTTATGTATGGATGCAGGGTCTCTCAATCAACACGACATTCTCTAATCCTGGCTAGTCTAGCTAGCCAGCTTGTCCCGGGATCTGCTGTCTCTGCCTTCCAAGCTCTGGGACTGCAGGCAAGGCAGCACACTTGTCTGGCTTTTGTAAGGGTTGTGAAGAATCTAAACTCTTGTCCTGATGCTTGTGTGTCAAATGTCCACTGACGCATCTCCCTGGCCCTCCTGCATCATTTCTTACGTCATTTTGAAGCTGTGCCCCAGCTTTGGCCCTTAGCAACTCGGGAGTGTCTGCCACCGGAGTGAACGTGGAGACTCGCTCATCATGGCCTCTCTTGTATTGCACCTGATAAGGAGAAACTGAGTCAAAGTTCTGCCACGCCTCCCTCAAGCCTCTGTGAGAACCTGTCCCGCCTCTCTCTAGAAGCTACATCTTGAAGAATTAAAACGAACCTGTTCCAAGTCTGTACCCACAGACATTATTTTTGCTGATGTACCAACTTTACAGAGTACCAGGCACTTCTAAAATGTCACCAAATAGCAACTCATGTGACCCCTTCAGCCGGCACATCATGTGACCCCTTTCAACAAGAACATCCAGTGGGACTATTATTTACCACAAATAACAGAGAGGCTAAATAATTTGACAAGAGGTGCATAGAAAATGTTCAAGAGAGTCAGGATTCAAATCCTAAGTTCCTGTCTCTAAAGCCTGAGCCTTTATCCCACAAGCTGTGCCAATCTCCAGGTAAACCCATACCTTCTCTAAGAAAAACAAGCAACCTGGAGAAACATATACTTTAGCCACTGGGTAAGTTACAGGGTCTCTGTAACTCTCTCCTTTTCACATCTCGTAAACATGGCCCAAACAAGGTACAGAGGACACAGCGTTGGGAAAGCGTGGCTTTTTCCACACCCTATAATTTTTCTTCCATATTGTTTTCCTGAATCACAGAGCTGGCTGTATTCATGTCAAAAGTTAGCGTCATCAAGGGAGCACGTGAGCTTGGGAACTCTCACCTGGCTGGCCAGCTGGTTGGCCACCTTGGCACGTTGGTAGGCAGGGGTGATCATGGCAGGGAAGCTCCCTTTGCCTTGCTGTTGTTCAGTGTCTTCTGTGTACCCCTGCTGGTCAGAACCACAACAGCATGAGAACCAACGGGAGCTCATAAAACTGCCACCAGACCAGAGACCCTGGACTCATTCCATATGTGGGAAATATGGGCTAAGTTTGAACCTGGCACTTGACTAACACCATCAAGACCGAGAACCTTCAGTGTTTATATCACATTATGAGGAGCCTGGTACAACTCCCTCAGGAGCCCTTGTATCAAAACACAGTCAGTAATCCAGGAGTCTTGGCTGGACTCACCTCCAGGGAAAGTTCTACAGCACAGGAAGGGAAATGCTTATTTTTAACTCCTTACTTTCTCAGTAACTCTGAAGGTTAACTTTTCTAATGAGAAATAAGACCTCATGTTTCTATCACCTTCTGTTTCCTAAAGGGGAAAAAACTGCAAAAACTGTAGCCAGGCAATGGTGGCACATGCCTTTAATCCCAGCACTCGGGCGGCAGAGGCAGAAGGATCTCTGAGTTTGAAGCCAACCTGGTCTACAAAGTGAGTTCTAGGCCAGCCTCACACAGAGAAACCCTGTCTTGAAAAAAACAAAAGAAAGAAAGAAAGAAAGAAAGAAAGAAAGAAAGAAAGAAAGAAAGGAAGGAAGGAAGGAAGGAAGGAAGAAAAGAAGAGAGAATAAAAGAAAACAAAAACCTAACAGTAATTTCCCAAGTAGGTTTTTCAAAGGAGAGCTGTGTGCAGTAGGAGCGAGGGTACCATCTGCCATTAAGGATATTAAGGATTTCTGCAATCCTCTCTAGTCCTACACTGTCCACGCATTCCCTTACAGTCCTGGAGGTGAAGAGTCTAGTGCAGGCCTCTAGGACTGGCTTCTTCTGAAGCAACAAGAAGAGATTCTTCTTCTTCTCTCCCCCCCACCCCCCACCACTCTCCAGTCCTGCCACGCCCAGCCTAACCTGGCCCTGTCCCACTGGTCCCTTCTCTCCTCACCCCCCCCCACCCCCATCTCTCCAGTTCCACCACGCCCAACTCAGACTGGCCCTGCCCCACTGCCCACCCCTCCCCCTTCCCCCTGTGCCTGCCTACTGGCTAGAGAGAATCTTGTGGCACCGCCCTAGAGTCCAGGTTCTTCCTATTACAAGACTCTTAACTTCGTCACATCTGTACCGTGTCTTTGATGGGTGAAGAAATGTTGGGGTCCACGGATTGGGACCGAACGGGGATCTGGGCGGGGGCAGCGGAGTTAAATCTTGACTATACATTCCCTGGCCCATGTGTTGAATACTTGTTCCCTAGCTCAGCCTGGGGCTCTATTCTGAAGTTGGAGCCTTTAGAGACAGAGTATATCTGTCAGAAGTAGCTGACAAAAAACAAGCCTTTGAAGGATACATCTACTCCGGGTTCTAGCCTAACTTCTCTGTGTGAATGAGTCACTTTGATGACCAATAGGCCCTCTGCAACCATGAGCCAAAATAAACCCTCCCCCTTTGTTTCTGTCAGGTATTTCTTGCCTTAGTGACAAGACTAATAAGGGGGCAGGGTGTTCTATCAACTGCCATCTTAAAAATAAGGGAATATTTAAAGGAATTGTTACCTGCTAGCTGTAAGTCGTTCGTAAGGCCCTTACCTCACCAAGAGACTGTCGGGCCTCAACCATCCTTACAATCTCAGGGTCTGGCAGAGCTCCTGGACACCAAGTGTTCCCTTCTCCATACCCTGGCCAGTAGTCTCTCTGGAAAGGAAGCATGAGCATGCATTTAGACATACTCCCTTCACACTTGACTGTTCACCCCACACCCCCACAGCACCCACACTTCCTATAGTGCACCACAAACTCCTCCAGCTCTCCCCACATTCCCCAAGCTCATCCCTCACCCCCACAGTCCACCCCTCACCCCCACAGTCCACCCCACATCCCCACAGTTCACTCCACACACCCCCAAGTCCACACCTCGTTCCCAAGAGGACTCCCTCACTGTCAGAATAAGCTGTTCTCTAAAAGCAAGAAGCCCCTCCACTCAGGGCCTCTACCAACCAAAGTGCTCATGCTTTTCAGACTAGAAGATGACCTCATATCTTGAATAATTAAATTCCCTGAGACCTTCTATGTTGTAGAAACCTTCCAGATGCAATTAAAGATTTCTTTGCTCATCGGTGCGCTAAGACTGAGCGGGGAGAGGTCCCCACAGACAGCAAGTCTGAGGTGAGCCAGCTCAATCAGGAAAAGTTCAAAACCCACCACTTGTTTTGTATCCGAAGATTACCAAGGGGAAAAGCCAGGGGAAAAATGGGCTTTTCTTTTAAAACATTTGCTGTAAAACTTCAGGACTAAAATGAACAAGGAAAATAAATAATGGTTAGGAAACATTTGTGTGCTTACATATACTTTAAGGAAATTTAAAGACATACTTATGTCTCATTGTTCTACAGCATCACCCTCCTTATGCAAAAGAGACTGAGGGAAAGAGTGTTTGTTGCAACATTGTTGTTTAAGATGTGCAGACAACCTGCCCATCAAAAAGAAATCACCTATATCTTCTCTCTCAGTGATGCATCCTGAACACATCCACAACAGCTGAAAGAGGGAGCTGATGTGGAAATAGCTCTCAGGTGGCTGTAGGATGAAAAGACAAGCTGGAGAATAATGCATGTTGTTTAGTGAAAAAAAAACAAAGATTATGATTAATATATAATAATATCTAGTATATAGTGTATAGTATAGTATAGCATATAGTATATCGTATGTCATATGTCATATAATGTATACCATATTCCATATACCATATAATGTACAATATACAATAAATATATAGTATATAGTATAATGTATAATAATATATAAAATATACAATAATATAGAATATAGAATATGGTGATTAATATATAATCACTGATAGAAATATTAATAGCTGATGTTTTTGTACCTGACACTATTGTGATATCTTTGCATTTATCTATTCTTTAATCTTTACAATAGCCCTGTGGATTAACAAGATTTTAAGTTTACTTTGTGTGTAATAATGTTTTCTGATTTGATTTGAGAGTGATCATATGCTACACATGGGTCTGGTACTGTGACCCTGGTCAACATGCCAGGGCCAGAGAGTGTTTGATAGGCGCTAGGGTCCCCCTACTGCTGCTGTGCCAAATGGGAATGTTGTGAACTTGCCTCTGAATACTAATGTTTAGATCCACAGATTAGCGATGCTCTCGAGGCACGTCTGAGACACGGCTGTTAAGGCACAGACTCATAACTCGCCAGAGTTCCAAGAATACAAGACAGTAGGCTCCTAGCCCTAAATGCATCCATATCCCCCCCCCCCCCCCCCCCCCCACCCCCCCCCCCCCCCCCCCCCACC